AGTATGCTTGAAGACATGAACTATCCAGTCAACCAGCAGCTGTTGAATAAAGCGGAAACGATCAAGGTTAGCATGGCGTAGCAGTGCACTTACAGCACTGAGTAGTTTGTCTTTTATTTATTTATTGATTAGATGGGTGGACGAGCTCATAGCCCACCTAATGTTAAGTGGTTACTGGAGCCCATAGACATCTACAACGTAAATGCGCCACCCACCTTGAGATATAAGTTCTAAGATCTCAGTATAGTTACAACGGCTGCCCCACCCTTCAAACCGAAACGCATCACTGCTTCACAGCAGAAATAGGCGAGGTGGTGGTACCTACCAGTACGGACTCCCAAGAGGTCCTACCACCAGTTTATTTTGAATAATACTTGTCGTATACCGTTATCTACTCGCTATGGTAGAAATAGGTACCAGTAAGTGATGGTATGATTAGTGTTAAAGCACCGAATAGTTTGTCTGATTCTGATGTGAAATATTTAAATTTCAGGCGACAAATGAGAAATTAACCACAATGAACACGAGCAAAAAGAAGATCCAGCTAACTGAGCCGGCGCTTAATATCATGCACACATTAGCTAGCGTCAAAAAGATCAAGCAAGGCGATTACAGCGATTTCCAAACAGCTGTTGCACAACCAAAAAAGAGCTTGGCTCAAGGGCTTTTGAGACGTAACAACCACAGCACAGAGCCGAAAATTGACTACACCCTAAAAAGACTAGATCCGTTTTTTTACAAGGAATGCCTGTTCTATCTCGCTAATTACGGCTCTCAAGTAGCCAACATAGCGTTTTACATGAAGCACAGCGATCTAACCGAGGTACTGAGATATTGTTATGATAACATGGTCGATAAGGAGACTTTCACTGATTCCGTGTACATGGAGTGCTTAAAAAAAGATAAAGTCAACGACCTCTTAAAAACTATGACCGACTTAGATAGCTCTTTGAACATGTGGTCGGTGAGTATTGTATTTTATATATTTTTTAAGATATTGGTAGCTGTGAGTTTTATTTAGTTAAGACTAATTTTGTAAGACTATATGGGAGATTGAATCTCTTGATTATATACCCTTGTGTTGAGGCTGTACGGTTGAGCTATTTTGAACTACATAATATATTGGATTGGTGATAGATATAAAGTGTCTTCTGGAGCCTCAACTAATATAAATTAACATAAACAGAAAAATTATGGGTATGAAGCAGGCTATCTTAGAACTTATAGATATTATTTTTAATTTATTTATTTATTGCTTAGTTGGGTAGATGAGCTCACAGCCCACCTGGTGTTAAGTGGTTACTGGAGCCCATAGACATCTACAACGTAAATGCGCCACCCACCTTGAGACATAAGTTCTAAGGTCTCAGCTATAGTTACAACGGCTGCCCCACCCTTCAAACCGAAACGCATTACTGCTTCACGGTAGAAATAGGCAGGGTACCTACCCGTGCGGACTCGCAAGAGGCCCTACCACCAGTAATAATAAGTGTGTGGCGAAACCTTTGGATCCGTCACGCGCATGCGCGGCTAGAAAAAAATCGAGGAGGCCATGAGCCGCCATTAGAAAACAGATTGTACATTTTTTACATAAAGATAAACATTTTATTATTTTATTTAGAGCCGCTTTTATTTAAGCGTCCTAAAAGTGCGTTTTATTTATTAGGATTACATAATGCACATCTGTCGGACGCTGGAGGTGAGCAAGCGGCTAGAGGCACTATACGCGGTGCAGTGCGGGTCGGGGCAGCACGCGCGTGCGTCTGCGTCGTGCGCGCTGCTGTACGCGCGTCCCGTGCGCACGCGTCAAGCGTTCGCCGCGCTCCTCGCCAGGCAGCACCACCTCACCGCCGCTCTGCATCACCTCTCGCAATGCGTTCCGCTGTCGAACAGTCAGTACCAAGACTCATATTGATCTAGACGTCCTATTTAAGTGAAACTTCTAATGCGACTTCCAACAAGGTTGCGTTAAACGTTTAACGCTACCATACTAGAAACAAACAGAGCGAGAGCAAAAAAGGCCGAGGAGAGCAAAAAAAATACTGAACCATTTTGTCTTTGCGTATTATAATAATATAGTATAGTTCATTCACACGCCATCTGTCGAACGTTGACAGTACTATAAAACACATGAAATAAACAACTGCTTACAACAGTTGTATCAAGTTTCAAGTCAATCGGGCATTCAATTTATAATTGTACAAATGTGATAAACAGAAACACAATGCCACAAATAATTATATTATCATAATAGATAACTGACATATTGCTGATGACGAAATCAGTCAATATTCCACCTAGTACACTTCGTACTGTTCATTTTGTACATTGGTATTGCCAAAGCAACACCATAATTGTGATTCTTGAGAGGGGTCTCATACTGTATTTTTTTTTTTTCATTATTGTTTTATATTTGCAGAACCTACAGATTCAAAATCAATTCACTTCAACTTAGACAAGGCCACTATAGATAATCTGATGACGACGATAACTCGGCAAATGGAGTTAGCCAAATATTTGGCTGCGGCAGAATCCAGCGAAAGATTGACAGAGAAAGTGTTAAACGAAGTGATCCCCGTGCAAACTGCACAGGAATCCAGAGCTGCTGACTTCCGTCCGCTTACTCTGTTCGGCTCGACCACAGATAAAATAAGACTTGTTGCCGCTGTCCTCGCTACTGGTCCCAATATAGAAAACGGATTTGAACTGGCTTTTAAGTGAGTTCATCAATTTAATGCTTACATTGTTTTTGAGTATTACAGAATTAAAAGAAAAAATTGGAATTTCAGAATCATTACCGAACATAAACTGGACTCTATGAATATATACACGCATGTAGCGAGATATCTGGTGCAAGTCGATCGATTTATAGAAGTCAAAACGTTAGCCAAATGCATACGAGCATCCAAAGAAACCGCAGCTAGGTAACTAATCAAAGAGTACATACATATCGAGGCTATTTGATTTATGCGACATTTTTGCAACTTTGCAGTTCAACCGTGTAAAATTTTAAATTTGGAAAAATATCATATAAAAAAACTTCCTCAGCTATTTGAATGGGATTAACATAATTGAAGCTCAATTAAAAACATTGAAATGTTGATGCTAATGCCAAATAAAACGGAACTTTACGAAGATAAATGTCGCTTAAACCAAATAGTCTTTCACCCCTCGATATAATAAAAGGATGAACATAATCATATATTGTATTTTGAAAAAAAAAAAAAAAAAAATTATTGCCTACATTGGTAGACGAGCTCACAGCCAAACTGGTGTTAAGTGGTTACTGGAGCACATAGATATCCACACCACCCACCTTGAGATATAAGTTCTAAGGTCTCAAGTATAGTTACAACGGCTGCCCCACCCTTCAAACTGAAACGCACTACTGCTAAAACTCTAGAATGGTTTGGATGAAATTGAGTCATCTATCAAATAAATAAAAGTTTGTAAATTGAAATGATTAGAAAATTGTTAAAAGAAATCTTTTCTAGTTTGATGAGCGATCAAGTTTTGGAATCCGGAGTTAGTGCCGTGGTGAAGAAATGCGAATCCCGCGGTCAGTTACACGACGAACAAGCAGAAATATTGATCGCCGATATACATAGTGTTACCATTAAGGTAATATTTCATACATCAAATCAGTGTAGTAAAAACATATATGTATTTATTGCAATACTTTCTAATGATTATTTTGGTTCAGTTCCATTAAAATTTACTCAATCTAGTTTTTGACCATCACATCTCTTCATATGCGTAGCTCTACGTAAATAGTATAATAATTGACTCGTAATTTATTACCCCAGAATTCAGTGAATATTGAATGCTATGAAATACAATTTTATTTAAAACTAGCTGACCCGGCAAACGTTGCGTTGCCTTAAATAAGATTTCTAGGGAAATTCTAGTGTAGAAAAAAAAACCTCATTCAACCACATAATACCTCATTATAACAAAAAAAATATTATAAAAAAAAATTTTTTTGGTGTGGACAACCCTTAACATTTAGGGGGATGAAAAATAAATGTTGTCCGATTCTCTACCCTGGCCGATATGAACGCTAAGATTCACGAAAATCGGTCGAGCCATTTCGGAGGAGTTCAATCACGCACACCGTGACACGAGAATTTTATATATTAGATTATATTTTTATTTTTTTTATTTTTTGTAATTTATTGTTATAAAATCTTGGCAATGATAATCAGTCATGAACCAGCCAGTGGTTTTCTTCTGGCATTGTCAATGGCCATAAGCACATTCACCGTTCACTATCAGGTAGCATGTAAGCTGTCTTCGACAGCAATAAAAACAGGAATTTTTATATTTATATATATATACACGAAGATATGTGGTGTGTTGGCATGTTTAAATACATAATCAAACTTAACAAACAAAATATGTTCAAAGTCCAATGTGCATATTATATTGAAAATGTCCCTAAATTTCTTTTTTAGATATCTTGTTACTTGGTGTGCCGAAACGTGAGCAATGCTTATATTTTGGCTGCTCGTAATGATCGTACGAACGACCTTCGACGTGTACTACATGAAGCCGAGCGCTTAAGAAATGATCAAGTCAGGAATGCTTGTTTGAAACGTCTAACTTCTAAGAATGTCTTGTAATTAAGAAGTGAAAATGCAATAAGATGATGATTATAAGAGAGATTTTTGTATAGTTAGAATGAATGTGTTCAGAAAAATTTAAACAGTATAGTGTAATCATTTCTATAATAAAAGTTAGGCTTATAATCGATCTCTGATAACAATGACAGTTTTCAGTGCCGTTTTATTTTCTATATAATATTCAGTGTTAGCTTCTGTAGGAATATTGCTTTCAAAATAAGTCATTAGTGCCTTAAGAGAACTACTTTACTATGCAAATAAATATGGTTAGTGTGATTAAAACATTTTTAAATCCAACAGAAATAGGTGCTATGTATGTTTATTTGATTTAATAAAATTTTGCCAGTTAAAAATTTTATACTNCAGTGCCGTTTTATTTTCTATATAATATTCAGTGTTAGCTTCTGTAGGAATATTGCTTTCAAAATAAGTCATTAGTGCCTTAAGAGAACTACTTTACTATGCAAATAAATATGGTTAGTGTGATTAAAACATTTTTAAATCCAACAGAAATAGGTGCTATGTATGTTTATTTGATTTAATAAAATTTTGCCAGTTAAAAATTTTATACTATTTAGTGATATCTTTACTCACTATTTTAATATTGTACATAAGTGACTAGGTGTGATACGATGCCAGTAAATATTATGTAATTTCAAATACTCTTGCAATTGAATTAAGTTTATGCAGCGTGAAAACCAATTAAAAATACTACTTTTTAATTTAGCAACATATTATCTGACCTGTGACAATGGAACCAAAAACAAAAATATATACAATAAAAACCCAGTATTATTTTTAAACTATCGAAATCAGAAAACACACAATGCACAAATTAAAATTAATAATAATTAGATTAGCCCATACCTACTGTAATTAAAATTTCATTTTGTATGTTAAAACAGCTTTCCAAAAGTTGAAAGTTTTTTTATTATTATTATAATTGGTCTCAAAAAATGTGATAAATATCATGATCTATATTTTCATAAGACATTTCTATCTTTGTTACACATTATTATGGTAAAAATAAATGAAATCTTTTATTCTGTACTTGTGTTATTTAAAACTTTAAAACTTCAAAATAAAATTAATCAAGTGTAATGTGTTACTCCTTGATAACTTGGATGTTGTTTTATAATTGATACTTCTTTATAAAGTTTTGAATATTATATTTAATAGAAGCACAAGATATATTATCTTTTGTATAAAAAGTGTTGTACATCTGGTCAATGACTGCATTATGCCTTACTAGCAAAAGCAGGTAAGACTCCAACTCTTCAATCTCCCTTGGAGAGAAAAGCACAGTTCAATGGACCTCATCCCACACGCCAGGATCTCATGGTGGTATCATAAAGTCACTTGTCACTTTACATACTTAACACTAAGTTGTGCACTTCATAATCAGTCTATGACACAGTCACTGTTACACACTACTGAGTCGCCATTGCTTTTTTCTTGGGCTTTTTCAAGCGTTTCAAACCATTAACACTCGTTTTCAGCAGATTAGAATATGCAGTTGAGAACTTTTCGACATCACGCTGTTCCACAACTGTTGATATCTTTTTACTTTTAGATTGTGCCCGTAATAAGCATTTGTATTCGGGATTTTTAACTGCAGGTGTTCCGTCTCGAGGCTGTGGTTTGCTACGGCCGTCATCTATAACGTAATAATCTCATTAGTAGTGAAGAATACAAAAACTGAATATTTAAACATTGGTGCAGAACTTACATCTCTTCATAGTCATTGTGATTGATCCTGCTAATCGTGCTTTTTGGAAAAGTTTCGTTAACTCTGCTAAAAACTGAAAATAATTTTCTATTGTAATTACAAATTATTAAAATTTCAAAGAAACATGCTTAACGTTACAATACCTCATCGTTGCTCAATAAAACCATTGTTAAAATTTAACAACAATAATTGGAATTTATATGTAAGCAGTGCAGTAAGTGGATATTATTTGTTAAAATTTCAGCATTTTCGAAAATTATTACTAATTTCTAAAATATGCGATTACTTAGGACACGTTGCTTGACAATTTTGACAACTCATTTCAACTCAATATTTTTGACATTTGTAATGTCAGCCATGTCAGTGTCAGCTAAATCACTAAAAACTACACACCATAGACCTATACTTCAGTGCTACACACACACTACATCTAAAAATTACAGGAAATCAATCACAAATACTTTGTTTATCTTGCAAAGTTTTGAGCATAAGCTAAGTACCTACTACTAGATACTATAGGTGCATGTTGACTACACTTTCGCCTTCTTCGCCCAATTAGCCAACGCATTATTGAAATAAATAAGCTTTTGTCCCTGGCATTGTTTATACTCGGCACAAAATGAATAATTAATAATATTTGTTGGCCGAATGATTGATATGGTCCATAATCATTGACTGCAGCTGACTGACTGAGCTGCAGACTTATATCTTAATATTATAATATTTTAGTACACCATTAACATTTTGAAAATAATATATAAACTACTGATTTTTTTTATTTGTTTTAGCACTAAGTTAATAGAATTATTACTATTATTATTATTATTAGCACTAAGTTTCGTCAATATCTCTGGGCGACTAGAAAAAGTGCTCATCTGTGAGCAGAAAGTTATAGTTATAGTACTACTATATATATAGTACTTTATTAAAGTAGACAATAGTACTAGCACAATTTTGAAGAACTGAAGTGTGCTGTGTAAGCTGTGTTGAAAAATTTAATAAAATAACTTTTACCACACCACCTGCTTCGGTGGCGCCTTCCTAATTGGTCATTTCTGAACAGACGCTTTTTCCTAAACAGTGTTTAGGAAACTCAACCTCAACTCAAGCTCACCTCTATTCTCCACACAAAACCAAAAGAAAAATTGGTATCGTACTTATTTCATGTTTTGTTTTTTGAAGAAAACATAACAATTCCCAATTTTTTTATTGTCAAAACATAAAAGAAAAGAAAAGAATTTTTGACAAACAAAAGACAACAAATTTTGAGATTTGACTGTTTGGTCTTTGATTAGACTAGGCTTTAATTAAATGTTAAGACTGCAAAATTGTTTAGCGCCCTGTATGTAGATATTTAAACTTATTAAAAACGTAGTCAAATTAATATACCAATTATAATATAATATTATGTTTATTTCCTGTTTCTTTTTTGTATCAAACAACCTAGCTAAGTAAAAAGCAAAAATTTTATGATATCATAATAATATCAGATCATGAGCAAAATTAATTTAATAATAATCTCTCCTATCTTCGTGTCACAATAGCATAGATATCTTATAAGGATGATGTGTGAACTACGAACGAAAGCGAAACACGAAAACCAGTTTATTACCTAAAACGATATGAAGCAGAACTACCTGCAATCTATATAATTAATGAATTTACTCTTTGATTACATTATTTCGGATTTTACAAAACAGTTTAATTGAACGATATCTCTTCATTACAACTGTACGCTAGAGAACATTAATTTTAATAATAGGTAAAAACTTATTTATCAGTGTATAAGTTTTTATGATCGCCAATATAACAGCAAAGTTGAAGTCAGTACTTACTTTTCTCATTCAATGGTGTTTGTGTAAGACTTAGAATAAAAGCAGTGTCTTCGTATTAAAATGTCGAATGGTAAGCGTTTTTCCTTTTTATTGATTTCTTTTTACTATCATCAAATGATCAGATGTAATTGTGTCGGGTGGATGGATGAGGATTTTTTTTTTTTTTCTTTGAAGCCTATGAATATTATTCTGTTATTCATGTGTCACTGAAAAATAATTGAAGATCACCTGAAACGAATTTTTAATTAACTTAATCGATACATTATTTATGATAAATAGGTTTTTCAGATCGCATGATGGTAAGTGTTTTACTAACTGCACATGGAGCACTGGTGTACCTTTTGTGGTGTACTTTTTGAATTTATGTTCTAAAAATTCAAAATTGTCATACGGTCTAACTCTGTGTAATTGTTTGGTATTTCATAATTGGTACTGGTCACTGGTGGTAGGACCTCTTGTGAGTCCGCGCGGGTGGGTACCATCACCCTGCCTATTTCTGCCGTGAAAGCAGTAATGCGTTTCGGTTTGAAGGGTGGGGCAGCCATTGTAACTATACTTGAGACCTTAGAACTTGTATCTCAAGGTGGGTGGCGCATTTACGTTGTGGATGTCTATGGGCTCCAGTTACCACTTAACGCCAGGTGGGCTGTGAGCTCGTCAACCCACCTAAGAAATAAAAAATAAAAAATGGTAATACCGTTGTTTGAGCTTGCCTATATATTTGAGCAATTTTAATTACTTTCCTAATTTTATGGAGGTACATTGCGTATTTAGCATAAACCTTATTGACTCTCATAACGAACAATAAACTCTATTCTTATGATTAAAGAAGAACCCTTCTCTCAATAAAACAATCATAGTCGATGTTGATTATACACATCTTGGTAGATGGTAGGTACATAGTATTGGACGCAACATAATATATTATTACGCTATATAGCACACATAGGCTGTCACATCTAGCGTTTTTGGTTAGTTTGTTAAATAATATGTATACAATCTCTAAACTATGGGTTGTCTGTAGTTGAACGAATCCACCAGCCGGCACGGTACTAGTACCTATCCTATGTTTTTCCCTTCGCCTCAATGGTGGTACCGGTCTAATGCTTACATCGTATCTCCCCATTTCACTCCTTGCTAGTTTACTTACTATACGCAATAAACTCATTTTCGTCAGCCAGTAACGATTGGGTAGCTTATACCTACTCCAGATACGTATTGGCGATGGAACTGTGTGCTTATTGCGAGTTTTTTAACGTACTCGATAGCGTAAAAGTTAACTCAAATTTGTATGCAGATGGTACAGCGCCCCTATTGGCAAACGTAGGCAAACGTTCCAACTCCATACAAATTTGACTTAACTTAAACACTATTGAGAACGTTAAAATACTCGCACTAAGCACACCGAAGTGGGAATTTTCGCCGTTTTCGTCATCAACCATACGAAAAACGTCTCAATATTATAACAAAAAAATCTCTCTGCTTGGGCAGACGAATCTACCCAGCATTGTGTGATAATCGTACAGAACCAATAATCTGTGGCGGTAGCCATCATAAAACAAGATATTTGACAGATGTCTGAATCTCGCTTACCAGATTTTCAAGATAAGCTTAAACAATACATGTTCGAAGCAATAACATTTCGGCGTGAACAATAACATTATTATTAGACGCCTGGATCTCAGCAGGAGCAGACTTAGAGACCCTAAAATTAACACCCCTGTAGTAAGAGATTAGGTCTCCGTTTTTAAGCTCTGTGTGACAATCACTATGTTGTCCACCCACTGAGTTTCTCGCTGGATTTTCTTAGTGAGTCACAAATCCGATCCGGTGGTAGATTCAGCGCAGCACTTCTCTTAATAGGGTCAATGTTAGAAAATTCTCTCATGAGACTGTGAGTTCACTACCGGTCCAAGATTATCTGGAATAGCCTCTAAGGCTACCAGCTATTAGCGACTAGAGAGTAGGAAAAAGAAACATGTCTAATGCTTATAACGTCAATTATAACATAAGGCTCAATTATAACATAATCGCTAAAAAACTTGATCTTGCACCCGTCAGTGAAGAGTACTATCCTCAAATTAGCCACGGTCTAGTCCAAATACTCACGACCTCAAACGTGCTGCCGGGTGAGCCTTTGTCAATTTTAAACGGATAACACGTATCCAGGATCGTTGCCTGTCCTCGTGGAGTCGATTTCGAATGGTCTGATCACTAACGTATGTGCCAGTGGATTGCCTCAGCCGAGATTGTAAGGTCCGGGCGGTTATTGTGCGGTCCCGGCGAGCTGTCAATCAGATGTAGCGGTCTTCTTATGCGATTATGGCTCGAACTCTTCCTGATCCAGGTCTTCTACCCACACTGCCTGTCTCCTGGAATCGTTTCCATACATTTGTCACGCCGTGACACACCAAGGCGAGTAGCAACGGATCTTTACGATTTCCCTCTTGAAGCAAAACAACCGCCCCTTGTCGCAGTTTCAGTATTCATATTTAAATAGATAATTTATGTCAATAAATAGTGCCTACAGCTCTTGATAGTTGAATATCGCTACTGCTATATATCGCTCATCTATATATTAATACGTGAAGCAAATATTTTGTATCCCTTTTTACGAAAATTGCGCGGACGGAGGAGTATGAAATTTTCCACACTTATAGAGAATATAGAGAAGAAGTGCACAATGCACAATTTTTTTTTTAAATAATGCATAAAAGGTACATTAAATCAATAAAGAAAACATTACACACACTACATACCATGTATTTGACGCACACACGCATGAATACTATTTATTGTCAAGCTTTTGTTCTTGGCGTACGTTGTCAAATTGAGAATAGATTAAATATGTATTGTCTGTCTTTGTTAAGATTTTTTATAGTGTAGTCTTGGTGAAATTTGTGACTATAGAAGTGTAAAATACAATCATAATAGTGTACAAACTTACAATTCCAATTGATTATAGTCGAATTTCGACTACCGCGGGACCTCTAGTATTATTTAAAGGCTTGTTATAAATTAGCTTCTTAAAATAGGTCCAGTACCGTACGTAACTGCCGCTGTGACGGCAATTGGTGTGCTTGGCGGTGCTTACTACGCTTATCGCCTGTACTGTCAAGATAACAAGAAGATAAAAATACCCGAAAACTGGACTAAAGTCGGAACGCTCAAAGCTATCAACGTTTATCCAATTAAATCATGCGCGCCAGTAATGTTGGAGAAAGCAGAGTGCTCAATATTAGGCCTCAAAGACGGCTGGCTAAGGGACAGGTAAGAAAAGAGTATTTGTTATTCCGAATTGGTAGGTCTATGAGTATTTCTATGTAAGAGAATGACACTGAACGACTCTAACATAGATTTATACACTTATGGACTCTAATAGAAGACTTCATATGAAGGGAATGTAGGGAAAAAAATATATAGAAAATTTATTAATAGAAAAGCCTCATTTGCAGAGAGGCTTGAGAGAAATAAACGGTTGTGGATAAGTTAGTATTGTCAGTCTTATTTTTAATTATTTTATTAAGTTTTTTTTTTGTAGCAGAAACCACTTTTCAGTCGTCTTGAAGGATTGCTTGACATCCATCACAATGTGAATACATTCCAGTCAACCTTGAGACGTTGAATTGAAGTCTCAATTCCATTAGTTTAAGGATATCCCAACGGCGGCAACGGTAGACTATCTCTATCGGCTCAATTAATCAATACTTTCATGTATTCAGTTTAATGAGAGAGAAAAGCCTTTTGTCAAGATGTTCATCTATCTCGCTTTCTTTTCGATACCACTCATTCTCCAAGCACTAAATATATTATTTAACAACATCAATAATCTCTTACAGAGTCGTAATGGTTATAGATGAAAAGAACAACTTCGTTACAGCGCGGGCTTTTCCTGAGCTATTGACTGTGCAGCCGACAATTAGGAGCTCCATTCTTACTGTGAAACACGCGCAAATGGAACCTTTGCATGTTAATTTAGCCGAGGTAATGAATAAACAGTATACATTAAACGAGAAAATTCCCTTGAACTTAACACAATCCAGCGAATATTAAGACAAAAAATAACAATCGTAAAACTGTTGTGAACAAGAAGATTATGCGTTGAAATGCTAATCCAAATCAAACCAATACTCCTTGTCTAAATCAACCCTAAATTAAGCGCCATACGAACTATTTTAGGTTGCAGCACTACAAAAAAGTAAAACGGCCTACGTTTGGGGTGTACCAGTTCCCGTTTATGACTGCGGCTTCGAGGCCAGCGAATGGTTTTCTAGGTAAAACATAAGCCATGTATTATAATCATTGTATATATGTATATTGTATAATCAATTATTTTTTACTGGTGGTAGGACCTCTTGTGAGTCCGCACGGGTAGGTACCCCCACCCCGCCTATTTCTGCCGTGAAGCAGTAATGCGTTTCGGTTTGAAGGGTGGGGCAGCCGTTGTAACTATACTTGAGACCCTAGAACTTTTATCTCAATGTGGATGGCGCATTTACGTCGTAGATGTCTATGGGCTCCAGTAACCACTTAACACCAGGTGGGCTGTGAGCTCGTCAACCCATCTAGCAATAAAAAAAATCATATTTCTTTTACGGTTTAATAACGCCTTTTTTATTTTCATTCTATGATTTAAGAAGTTTCGAATACAATAGAATTTTCGTGGTCACAGCCAATTAAGGCGTTGTATTGTTGTGACACCGTAAAATCCATTTTAATTATCTCTAAGAGTCGCGAAACCGAACGAAAATACGAATTGTCTTTCGTGTGAAGATCATATTTTATTGATTTGTTCCTTAAATTCGATTTTCACTGCCAAACTTTACGGGCGAGCCGATGCCAACCGAGGGCTTTTTAAATCACTTCTGTGTGCTTAGTGCGAGTTTTTTAACGTTCTCGATAGTGTAAAAGTTAACTCATATTTGTATGCAGTTGGAAGAACGCCCTAGCGGCAAACGTAGGCAAACGTTCCAACTCCGTACAAACTTGAGTTAACTTTTACGCTATCGAGAACATTAAAAAACTCGCTCTAAGCACACTGATTAAGGATATGTCATATTATACGTTTATGAAATACCTACCGTCTGGGGCCAAAATAAATCTCTGGTGACGTATAGACTTTGAACGTAGTACAAGAACTTAGAGATTAATTTTCTTTTTTTTTATGATTGATGTATTACTGGTTGCCCGGAGGCCTTTCCAGTTTCACCAGGACAAGTGGGCGAGCAGAGGCTCAGCCAGGAGGGGTGGGATTTGCTAACAGCTACCCGAGCGCCTCAAAAGGAGACCTAACAGCTCAAGAGTAGCTGCTTCGCGAATGAATCTACTACCGGATCGGAATCGCGACCCGCTGAGAAGATCCGGCGAGAAACTCAGCGAGCTGATTCATGGGTTAGGTTGCACGGCGAACTCTTTGTCGAGTTCGACGAGTACGGTTACCGAGGTCCCTAAGCCTGCTCCTAGTGTTAGAGCTGAAGGCGTCTAATGCAAAGGTTATTGGATCTGATGGATCCGTAAGGACGTGTCTAGGGCGTCGACGGTGACTGGCTCCTGCGTGATCAGGATTCGGGGAGTAGTCAGCGGCGGCTACGATAAGGCGATTATCATGACGCATAGCCTTATCGAAGTACCGTTCCGACGCTGACTTCATGTATCGAGATAGATTCGAGGCCCAGGTCGTCGTGTAGGTCAACGTTCCTCACGAACCCGGAGCCTCCGACAGCTAACCTGCAAAAGCGGGATTGTAGGATTGGAGGGTGTCTATGTGTGTGCGGGCCGCGTGAGCGAACACCACACTCGCGTAAGTCATGACGGGCCTTATGCAAGTTTTGTAAAGTGTCACCTTGTTCCGAAGGGACATTTTACTCCGCTTACAGATCATGGGGTAGAGTGTACCGAGAATAAACGCGGCACGGTCACGGACTGATTTTATATGCGGGCGGAATGTCATCGATGCATCCAGGGTAACGCCCAGGTACTTGACCTTCCTGGCCCAGGGTATGGGTTGTCTAAAGAGAGTAATCGGGGGTGTGAGATTCCTCCTCCTAATCCGGGAGGAAATCCGTGTGGAGCTTCCCCTCTGAAATAGCACCGCAGTACTTTTCGCTGGGTTGATGTCTATGCGCCATTTTCGGAACCTGTCCTAGGGCTAGGGCTGCGCTCTGAAGCTTCTTCGCGATTAGGGACTTGTTTCTACTGGAATAGTAAACAGTCGTGTCGTCGGCGAATAAAGCTAAATGGGTCGGCGGCGACCGGGGAATATCGTTAACGAATAAGCTAAATAGGAGGGGTGAGA